AGATTAGGGTATTGGAGCAGGACAAAGGAGACCCATGGAAGCTTTCTGGGTAACTATGGGCCATCTCTCTTTTAGCTGTATGTATGTCACTGTGTTATGAGAGAGAAAAAAATGTTGCTTGAGCTCCTGAAGAAAATATGGGATATAAATCTAGCAAGTAAACAAGCAAGTGAAGTCAAAATTGGCATCTTTTTTTAAAAAATCCAAGGAATACATTCTGTTTGAGATTATTTAATTAACCGTGTAATCACTAAATTGCCCCCCCCATCTCATTCATTTCCGCTTGCTGTGTTGTCTCAATGAAATCAAAACTAAAATTTCTAGCCTCCAGCACAGTTTATCTGACCTCGTAATGTTGTTCCTTTTACTTTCAATCTTTTTTTTTCAATTCATTTGATATTTTTTTCAATTTTTTTGCAGACAGCACAGAACATGTGCTTGCAAGAACCTCACATTGTCATGGTCATGACTCACTAGTCTGGTTTCAGGCCTCTAAGCTACAATAAAACAGTCCCTTAAGCAAGATTTGACACAGTGGTTTTAACAGTAATTCAAAGAAGCCTAGCCAGTTAACCTCCACTGTCAGCTGCGTTGTTGCCAGCAAACCTCTCCAAAAGATCAACAGATAGGGTCAATTTCAGGGGCAAAATGCACTGGTTTGCTAAAACCATAATTTGTCTGGCAAAGGCAAGTAAGCTCAATTAAAAAACCATTTTGAAATACGGTAAGTATTGATTGATGTCTTTTGCAGCATTGGCTTAGTGTGTTATCATCATCGTCATCACTTGTATGCTGCCTGAATTTCAATATCTCTGGCTGTTCACAATAATCAAATAAATTGCAATAAAATCAGAAAACAGAAAAGATAATGAACAAATAGGAGGCATAAATTTTTTTTGTGGCTTGAGTTTATGCCCTAGTTTCTAAGTGATCCAATGTAATAGTGAATTCACTGACTTTAAAAAAAAACAGCAAGGGGACGCACATGGCTGCTTGTTAGACTACATGCTTTGTGTGCCTGATCCATAGAGGATCCATGGACTTTGTTTGCTGCAGTATAAAAAAAGATGTTGAAACTCTTAGAGTGCAGAGAAGAGCAACAAAGATGATTAGGGGACTGGAGGCTAAAACATGAAGAATGGTTGCAGGAATTAGGTATGTCTAGTTTAATGAAAAAATGGACTAGGGGTGACATGATAGCAGTATTCCAATATCTAAAGGGCTGCTACAAAGAAGAGGCAGTCAATCTATTCTCCAAAGCACCTGAAGGCAGAACAAAAAGTAATGGATGGAAACTAAACAAGGAGACAACTATCCTAGAACTAAGGAGAAATTTCCTTAGAACAATAAATCAATGGAACTTTACCTCCAAAAGTTGTGGAGGCTTTTAAGAAGAGATTGGAGAACAATTCATCTGAAATTGTGTAGGGCTTCCTACTTGAGCAGGGGGTTGAAGACCTCCAAGCTCCCTACTAACTGTTATTCTGTTACTTTGTTTCCTGCAGAGTTTGCATAAGTCAGATGTACCACATATCTGATCAGAGAATGTAGAACAGATCTGTGCATTTTATGGCTCCTGGGCCACATCCGGCCCCTTGGCTGTCCCTGTCTATCATGTGTGGGGTCATTTGGAAATTAGAAATCAAATGTAAATAAGCACACCATAGGAGGCAGGAGAAAAAGTCAAGTCGGGTCCACTACTGCACAGTTGCCATGTGCTCCTTCAGTTGGCAAGAAAGTGTTTTTCTGCACCTGCGCAGCACTTGTCTTTCGCCTGGAGGAAGCGGTGGCAGTCATTGCATGAGTGGACCCAGCCTCAGCCACCTACCACTGTCTCAGTCAAAGTGCTTTCTTGTGGGCAAGTGGGTGGAGTACAGCCTGGAACTGTTGGTTTGGCCTTCCACAATAGTCCTAATTTCTTGTCTGGCCTTTTGGGAAAATTAACTACCTACCTTTGATGTAGAAGGCTGAATGCAGATATTAACTGATCCAATTAAAAAAGAAAGATCTGAATTTGATAATTTGGAGGAGAGTCAGGGAGTCTGTCATGAAGCTAAGTTCAGATAAGATGCTTACTGTTTATTTTTCTTGTCTTGCATGTGCTGATAAAAGTCCATAAAATAGAGCCGATTTTGGCAATTCTCTCAGAACTGCAGAAGCGCTTCAAGAAAATGACTTTAAAATTGAAACTTTGGCTGTTTTAGGGTTGAGCCACTTCCAGAACACTACAAATTACAATTGTTCTGGAAGATAGAAAACCACAAAACCAGTTTACTTGGCATGTTTTGGAATTAAAATGGAACCCTGAAGTATTTCACCCTGGAATAATGATGTGCACAACCAAAAGCAAGGGGTTGGACTCGGGCTCCAATTGCATTTCCTATTCTACTTTCATTCTGGAAATGGACACATGGGAAAATAGCATGTGTTTGAAAATAGTATCTCTACAATGTCCATCTCAGATAGGGCAGATTACTTTAAAAAATGTAATGATATTGTCAACTTTGAAAATGAGCATGGCTGCAGCCATTTTCCATACTCATTTTCAGTTGACACGCAGCATGGAGGGAGGGGGGTTTACCAGGTGCTTCGCTAGACTAAACAGATTTTCTCCCGTGGGAACCAAGGTCATCGGCTGCTCCCGGAACTGAATCCTTGAAATGCCTGAGTAATTGTTTGCAGTTATCATCTCAACATGCCATTGCCAGTCTGTATTGGACTGAAGCACAAATATTGAAATTATGTTAAAATTTAATCCTCTCTCTTCAAATATTATTCTTGTATGGCAGGTATACACAGGGAAGAAGGAAAAGGAGTAGTTGTGTAGGCTGTTCCTCAAAGTTACAACCATTGCAGCATCCCCATGTTCATGTGATCAAAATTTGGGCTCTTGGCAGCCCACCCACATTTACAGCTTCAGCATGTACTTCAACTCAACCCATCTGCCCATCTCTAAGCAGTGCAACCATTAAATATTTTGCCTAAAGACCACTTTGCTTAATGATGGAAGTTCTGGTCCCAGTTAGGATCATAAGTGAGGACTACTTGTAGGACTACCTGTACAAAAAGGCCTTTGATGAAAAGTGTTGCCCTTCTACCCCCATAGAGACTGACTAGAGATGGGAAAGCATTGCATTTATCCTTCTATCTTCCTTGTAATTAAATCTATTTATACAAGGGATGTCCAGAGGGGGTTTCATATTCAAGATGGCAGCTGTGAGGCAGACATCATCTTTACTTTTTTGACAATCCTTCAGACATCTCTGCACAAGGAGAAAAGTTTATGCTTAACAGATAACAACAACCAAATACAGAGTTTCCTCATTCCTGACATTGTGCATTTCTTCATCTTTGTCTGCATGTTATTGGCAACAATTGATGGTGGAGATTGAGAGGATGCAGCATGATGGACATCAATGTTTCCTAGATGGGGGACATGGCATCTAGTTATTTTGGTGGGAAATATTTTTTTTAATTGACAATATTTTATTTTATTATCTATTTATTTATTAAGAAAATGTATATGGTTCAACTCACAGTGACCCCTGGCAGCTTACAAGACTAAAACCCAATAGAAAAACCAATAACACCCCCCACACTCCCTTTTCATATATGTCTGGACCTGGGTTTATTGATTTTGAGAAGTTTAATTTTTTTTAAAGGCTACCTGTTTTGAAAAAATAAGTAAAGTCACACTTGAATATATATGTGTGTGTGTGTGTGTGTGTGTGTGTATTAATTTAGGTGTCTTAGGATTTCCTAGTACAGTAAGAAATTTCTGACCTACCTCCTAACTTTGTTTGATCCAGTTTAGCTTTTTTAAGATCAGCCAAGGTCAGCTAGGTGCTGCTGGCTGCTTGTGACTTTTGTAAAAAAAAAAAAAAAAAAAAAGCACTTAAAATCTACTAAAACCGAAATCTGTTTAGCCCAGCTGTTTAATATCTTGAATGCAGCCCTACTTACAGTGTAATTGTTACATCTGAGTAATAATAGTAGTTCCATTTTCTTGTTTTGAAAAGGAAGGTGTTTTGAAAAAAATGCTTTTTAATATTCTGAACCATCATGTCCCATGCCAGATCACTGTCGGTAGGTTTTTCAAAATTAATTTCTATGGCTAGTTTCATAGTTTTCCCCTGGTGCTTGACATTTTCATGCTACAGTTTATATTCCTGTCAGGTTTTACAAAGGATTTTGCTAAATCAACGGTAAACTCATATATGCTATACTATTTCATCACATACAGGGATGGAAGTTGTGAAATAAATTCTTTTATAGGTAACCAAATAGACTTTTTTCCAACTGAAAAATAGAGAGAATGTGCTATCCATTTCTCTGAGATATACTACCTTTAGGAGCGGCTCTCCAATGTACACTATGTACTTAATGTTAGAGAAAAATTTCCAAGAAGTCTTCATCAGAGAAGATAGATAAAACTCCCAAATTTGTCCATAGATAATAATGTTCTTGGATGGAGAATTTCTAGTCATGTAGATTATGCTCTAGTCTAGCTTGTGCAGAGAAGCAATGATACATTGCATCAGACACTCTGGGAATTTGCCAGGAAGAAGAAGCAAGCACATACTGCAGTTTTTTTCCCATTTTTGGAAATATAAAATCCAATTTTTAAAGTGATCTGTTTCTGGATTTTTAATTTTTTGCTTGAGATGATAATTGGCTGAGTATGGATTATGGCTTTTTCCTGATCATCAACATGACTGTCATTTATTCTTAATTCTTTACAGGCAATTTAGAGGCATATATTTAATTATTTATAATTAATCTACAACATATATAAATATAAGCATTTAAAATTACAGCAATTTAGAAGCATATATAATCACATTTTTAATTAAAATTATTGAACTAAAATAGCCTCGTTATTTGTCTTGAAACTATATCTGTGGTTGATTTCCCTCTTTCCATTATTTATTTGTATTTGTATTTTTTTTACCAATCACATCTATACATATAGTCTTATTTTTTGCAATTCTACATTTCAGGGAAAGGTCCATCTAGAATTGAGGCTAAGTGAAGTCATAACAGATACCGGTGTGATTTGCCATAAACTTGCTACACGGTAGGTATCCCTGGTGTTAGATAATATTTACCAACACTGTTGTTTCAATAACTCTGAATAAGTATCCTAATATATATATCAAAGGTAAACAGAAATACACCTTTCAAGTAGCTTGGCAAAAGTAAAAACAGTTTCAAGACTCAAGCAGGATTGTCAATTAGCTTTTTCATGAATATGAAAAGCCATTTTTTTGGATGGCTTTGGACGAGTAGAAAGTATAGACTTGAATGAATAGCCAAAAATAATTCTTTAGATCCCAGACACTCTTTAGGGCTACATAAACTTTGCAAATCACATTACATGTTATAGTAATGTATCTTTTCAGTTGATAACATGTTTTTTAAAAAGTAAACTTACATTGGATGAAACCTAAATTTTACAAGCTGCAGCAGAATTACGTCCTTTAATTGTTATGTTAACCAGCACAAAATCTATTCTACGGCATAAACAGCATAGTGTTATGACATAGCATAATAATTGCCATATGTTAGATTTTTACATTATTAGGAAACATATAAAGGAAGATATTTTTTTACCACAGCCTTTATTTAGGGCTATTGGGAATCCATTTTGGCAGTGAAAGAAGGCAGAACTAAAAGGGTAGAAGTACTTCCGTTTCCTTTCTCTATACTCTTTTTTTTAAACTCTTTATTCTGAAAACTAAATTTGAATAATATGGATTTGAACTGTGATCATCTTCTAAGTGTGACAAAATGGATGTAATTCTTTAATGAAAGTTCTAAAAAGCAAACTCTGCTTTTTGTAGGTAAAGGCATTGTATCCAATTAGTGATCAACAAGTCTAATAATTAACAACTTTTAATTCAGATACCTTTTCTTATTTTAGCAGAGATAAATCTGTGAATGATCGTTCCTTCTTTCTGGGTTTGGGTTTTTTTTAGTTATTAATGTTATTCATATTTTTGAATGTTATACCCCAAACTATACAGTCAATAAAAGTTCAGTTAATTTTTTTAAAAGACACTTGATTTTGAAAACAAATATTTTTTCTATTTCTTAAGTATAGGTTAGAACAGCAAACTCTCATGAGATCTCTGATTATGTTATTTTTGATTAGAGATTTCTACATTGTATACTCATTCTGAAATTCAGGAACACCAGAAGATAAATATCTTTCCTAGAAAATCATAACTTGACTCTCTCCGGAAAATCAGGAAATGCAAACCGGGAGATAAACCACACCATCAGCTTTTCTTACATGAGCCAAACCTTCTGTTATATTCCGTTAAATAAAAGGCATAGATTGAAGCAGTGTTGGTGATGTCAGCAGTAATTCTGATAAGAATTACATTTCTCAATCATGCTATAAAATCTGCTCAGAAGAGTTATGGCACAGTTTGTTCTAAAGTATGGTCAGAATTGCAGTGGAGTGTTTCTCCTCGTTATGATGTAAGAACTAAAAAGTATTCTCTTAAGTGTTGCTCTGTCTTAAGATAATCCAAGGAAAAGTTGATTGTGTCTGAAACTTGTCTTGCACAATCTGCTGTTCTCCAAGTTGAGGTGGACTATAATTGTCTTCATTGCTGGATTGGTTGCCAAAAATAGCCTTTGGAGTTATACCAGTCTGGAGGGTACAAAATTAGGAAAGGTTGTATTTATTGGAGTATATTCTGCAAGATATTTTATGTTACATGCCATTGTATAATTTCATTATCAGTATCTTTATATTTTATTCTTATATCATATATCTCCATTTTAATCTCATCAAGACTAGTGAGAAAATTCAGCAAGCAGATCATAGTCCTCTTCAGGTAGACCACTGGATGCCTAGAAAAGCCTCTTTTCTCCCTCTCTTCATAATTGTACAGGAGACGTCACTTAATCCTGACATTCATGAAAACTAAGTTACAGTCATCAGATGACATTTTATAAAGACACTAACTAATAGGAACCACAGTTACTGTTGAGAAACACCCCACCCTTCCTTTCTCTCTTTCTTTTGACATTTTTGTATTTGTGCACTCCTTTTTTATTATAAATGAAATGGCTTGGTATCTAGAATGGGTGTGAGAATCTAGTTCAAATAACAAGACAGAAAGAAAAGCCTGGGAAGCAAGCCCAGTAGGGCAGTTTGGGAGCTCAGAAGTGTAAAATGTAAAGTATAAAGGTTTACTTAAACTGGGCACACATATAAAATAAACCATAGGCAACATGTTGAATGTACACACAATGGTTGATTTCTAGAGTCTTTTATTTTCACCAAGATAGATATTTTGATACAAGCTTTTTCTCCCAACCACTGCTGAGAACAAATATTCTGTCATTTTTTCATTTTCTGTCCAACAATGTATCAGTTTGAGAGGGGTGCAAATGTCTCATTAGTTACTGAGATATCAATTCCTCTATCTCTATATGATACTCTGCCAGGTCATTTTTGCATTTGGACTAAATTGTTTTTAGCTAGTGTGGATGTAATATTTCCAGTCCCTTAACTTTACATACAAGATAAATAAATGCTGTGCCCATTCATATTTTCTTTTCCAGTGGGAGCAAGTTCCTCCAATTAGCATTAACCATTATGTAAATTCCAGCATGGTTAAGATTTCCACACAGTGCCTTGATACTAGTTCAGTCATAGAGACATACCTGTGTACTCTCATCTCGTTGTCTGGGTTCAACAAGTGAGTCGTTTTTTCCAGCTCAGTTGTGATAGGAACTTGTCCATCCTGGCTCCTGGGCTCAAGCTAGCCTCTTCCCATTGTTTCAGATCTTTGAAGCACAACATAGTAGTTAGTATTGAGATAATGGTGTGATAACTTTGCATATTTCCCATCCTCCCTAAATATTAACCGTTTGCACTAAAGTAAAAACCTTATGAAGAAAAACTATTGTCACAGTACTAAAGACTGGAGCAATGGAGCAATTGGCTTTGGTTTACACATCTTTTTAGGGACAAGGAAGGAGAAAAGGTGACATGGACATAACTACCGTAAATGTTCTTTGAGTTTCCCACTGTTTCTTGCATCTTTCTTGTTTCTCCTTCCCATTCTTATAGTATGTTATGTTAATTCATTTAAGTTCCTTAGATGATTGATAATAGGTGTGTAATAGTTCCTTACATGTACTTGCAAGATGGGTTTGTCTACATATGCATTATCCTTGCTGGTGTGAATGAATGTTCCCCCATTCATTCATACCACTTCAGATGAAATATTTTTTGATAAGTATCCTATTTTCTTGCACATGTACATTCAGAAAAGGCCAGAGATATGTATTATTAAGATTAATTTCTAACCTGTACATCAAGTTGTTTTGCTACATCCCAGCCCTAGGAAAAACAGAGAGGAACATGGTTTGGAATCCCGTAGCCAACACCCAGAAATTTACAGACTCCTGAAACTCACCATGTAACTGTATAATGGAGACTCAATACATCACAACAGAATAAAACTATAATAAATAAATAATACAATAACTTTGCTGTCTTGGACATGGGAAGATTTTAATAATAAATTCCCATATTAAGTCAATGAAGTTGAATCTCTACATATAAAAAGGAGGGTTTTTTTTAGGAAATAAGGGATGACAATGTTTACAGAATTAGAATTCATAATAAAATCAATGCAGTTAAACTAATTATTAATATAGTTAATATTCTTAATATTCAGCATATATTCAGAATTCATTACAGAAATTGCAGTTGAAGCATAATTGAAAGTTAGCCTCTTGGGGAGAGGCTAAATCTTGATTCTTGAGTTTATCAAGCAAATCAGAAATTATTTGGAGGGCAAATTTATCTTCCTAATGGTAGTGGAATGTTAAAAATACCATTTCATATTCACCTGTAATATAGTATAAATAGGATTATCGGGAAGAGATTTTCTATTAAAGAAAAGCTAGATCCTATCTATTCATGACACTCAGTACAAGGCAAGTTAACAGATGCATTTGTGGTTCAGTCATACTTTATCAAAACCTAGGTACTGTATGTGCCCTATTCCTTGAGAAACTACTGGAGCATCTGTGTCCTTTGTCACAAAAAACATGGAACTAAATTAGAATAATGATATCAGTCCATATTAAGTAGATTCTTGCACTCCCAAAATACAGTTGCTATGAGCAATTGAATTCTTTCACATTTGCTGCTACCTCTTTAGGATGCAGTGTTATACCAAGATGGATATAAGCAATTTTCACAAAATCTTAGCAGAAATGAATGATTAGCACTGAATAATTTCAGGCACAAAACATATTTTATTCAGTATTAAGATGAAATGAGTTGAAACAAAATATTGAGTTTCATCTTGTATGTCTATTGTATTCCTCCTTTCTCTGCCTCAAAATATCATACACTTTGGCCTAAATAACTAATTTGTTGCTCGAACAAGTTATCAGATGCCAGATGTTCCCATGCATTTATCACTTTAACAGTGATTATGAAATAGACCACTAGTGGAGATGGAAGATTTATCTAAAAATCCAGATATAGTATAAATGTCTACATTTTCTTGAAAAGGAAACATGGCTTCCTAATGGAAACCGTTATGAAGGAGGAAGAAACAAATTGAAAGCAATAGAAAATGAATGCAAATTTCATATTATAAAATGTAACAATGTTATATAAGGCAATACAGATGAAAAGGCAAAAAATAAATTTTCTGGGGGTTGTTTTTCTTTATTTATTTGTATCTCGCCTTTACTATTTTTATAAATAACTTAAAGTGGTGAACACAGATAATACCTCTTCTTCCTCTATTTCCCCTCAACAATAGACCTGTGACATGAGATGGGCTGAGCAAGAGTGACTGGCTTGCCTGTTAAATCCTCACTTCCTCACTTAGAAGATTCCACTTTATTCTGAAATGCTGGTTTTATCTATCTAGGCTTCCCTTCTCTGTTTACAGTATATCTATCTCTGGCTCCAACCTACTGCTAGTGTACTTCTCATGTAATGTTCATGTTTGTCTTGTACTTATGACTTTATTTTTTTTAAAAAAAATTCCCTTTTCAGCTTTACAAGCCTACATAAATTTGGGGGAA